TTAGTGACTGGCCTCAAGCAGCTGTCCCCTGGGCTATGCGGTTACGCAACACGCTAAGGCTCCTTCTTTTTTATGTACTTCAAGATCATTTCCCTGTCCAGACGATGGTAGCTGCATCAGTGCTAACATAACTGGAGACTCACTGGTTACAAGGCATTATCTCTATGATAGCTGAATAAGTTTTCTAAACATTGACTAAATCAGGGATCTAATCTGCAATCGATCAAAGATACAAGTAAATAGTGTACTTTGTTATAGAGGTTTATTTGATATAACAGACAGTGCGTGATACAGTATTAATGACTAGACAACGTTTCGAGCATAATTTTTTGCTTATAATCATATTCACATGACTTCCGGCCTTATTTTATATAAAGCCTTACTGTCTTTTATTGTAATTCTCTATTTCTGTTGCACGTGCTTGGTATTGATTTTATGGTTAAAAACATGGTGATTAGCCTCTCTCTCTCTCTCTCTACCTAATCAAACTACTACTCAGTACTTTAAACCTGTCGCACCCTATTGTATGATTAAATGAAATAAATGAGTAATGGATTATAATGGCGGAGCTTTATTCGAAATGGCTTAATAGTCTACTAGCTCTGCTTGTAACCAAAAAGTCCTGAGTTTGAACCCCAGTAGTGGATGCGTACTGATGAAGAGACCCAAACAAGGCTGACGAAACAGCTGTCCAGAACTCCCTGCAGATTTTTCAATAGTCCTCTAACCGATATCAGTTCATGATAAAATCCTGAAATCAATCAAATCCCTGCAAAACAATACTTGAATCTAATTGGTGGATGGCGACTAGTCCTATTCGGGACTCGTCATCTGGATGTGCCTGCATTCCGAAGCTTTTGAGTCCCAAATAGATGAAATGCTCATCCTGGATTCCACTGCTAGTCATCATCCACCAGTTAACTTCTAATTACATGCCCAGACATCATCGAAGCATCTGCATGAGAAGCCGACATGTCAACCTGAGACCGAGCACTTTGGTCCAAACAATCGACTGGAAAATCTAAAAATTGAATTAAATACTTGAATCATTTTGAAATTACTTAATTTATTAGGGTCGTTCGTTTTAACTGTAAATAAATTCCCTTATTCTGACAATCTAATTGGTCAGATACTAAGAAAGTGGAAGCACATTGACATGATAATAAGCATCAGCAAACTGTGGTCGAAACGTTATCCAGTTGTTAATACTGTATCATTCACTGTGTTTTATATATGAAATAAGCTTATCTAGTATGGAATTTTTCCCTACAACAGTACTAAAATTCTTCTCTTACATTAATTCAGAAATTAAATATGCGGGAGGTTTTTATAACTAAGGTAAACTTTAAATCTGAGTCATCCATTAAATAGGTACGGGTGGAATTTCACATTGTATTGTCGGGTGATATTTTTTCGGGGTAGGGGGGTGGGAAAGAAACTTTTCAGCACTATCCACTCACTGGGGTTTGAATCCAGATAAGGCCTTCCAGTTACAAGGCAAGCTTGTAGACCATTCGAGTACTGGTAACCAATCCTATGGTGCATGAATTCCAATTGCTGCTAATTCGCGATACATAAAGCGCAATCGGCAGCTAATGTCATAGGACGAGTAACTGATCTCCTTTTACCGAACTTTTTTTATGACAAATGAAATAAAAATATGGATTTTGTGAAGAAAGACGTTGAAATATAAAAAAAGATATTTCGTTTCAGTTAATGTGTTGATGATAACACTGCATATGTTTAACAACCTTACTTGAGCAGTTTAATGTAAACATGATTAAAATGCAGTAACAAAAGAAAATACAAAGAAATGAATCTATTGGTTTCTTTTTTTTTACTACTAAGTGGAATTATGAGGAGAATGACTAAACTGCACTTTCTTGATATGAATCAACCAATGAGGGTATGTGAAGCTTCATCGAGTTAGACAGCTTAGGACGCATGTCACGTACGCCGAGGTTGTTATTAACAAGATGTGTTGGCTGACATAAAATCGGATAGGGAAATGAGTTAAAGTTGGTGAGAACGAAATATGACAGGAGTCTATGAAAGTTCTCGACTGTTGTTTTGAGTCTGTCATGTATTATTTTATTTTTATTTTTGGTTACAGCTTGACTCCACACCGTATTTTTGGTACAAGTGTGGAATTTTCAGCGTGGATATCGGTAGCCCAAAATTCTCAGGCCGACTATAGATATCAGGTGTGCGTCGGCGTGGGCTCGAACCCCGGACCATGTGGATGTCGGCGAGAGTCCTAACCACTGTGCCACCGATGTAGGAGTGTGTAGACTGCTTGGTTGAGGTGCTTGGGATGTTAAGAACCAATGGTTTGAGATTGTTGATGGGTGTAATGGGTTTAAATTGTCCTCAATAGCATGGCTGCACTCACTGTGTGTGTGTGGTCTTTCAGATTTAACAAATCCTAGTGTGGGAATCATCGGTAGTACGCACCCACTGGGGTTCGAATTGGTAGAAGTTAGAATTCATGGACTGGCCATTGAATTGGGTCCCAGTGGCTGAATTGTATGTGAGCTGGCCTTGTAACTGGAAGGTTCTGGTTTCGGATCCCTCTGGTGAGTATGTACTGCCGATGATTCCCAAAAATTAGGATGAATCAGCTGTCCATTACTCCGGTACCGGTTTTCAGTGGTTCTCTAACTGATATCAATCCGTGGTCAAGTCGTAACAATAAAACTAATCCTTACAAACCAACTATAGAAAATAAATAAATCCTTGTGTAATTTTTCTCTCTCGTATATAGTTTCTTTGTGAATTGTAACAACTTGTACTGTCGCATTCTAGTACAAAACTCTATGGTGAAAATTCAGTCAATCCAACTGTTGTGTGTTTTTGATGATATTTAGCTGCGGTAATCAGTGTAATGTGGGCAGGTTGTTTTTGAATGCATGATTCACTCACTGATTGACAGTCAACTGTTTAAATCAATAAGTCACAAGTCTATAGAATATCACATAGTAGTAACATATTATCATGTTATGTAAATATTTTCAAAAGTTAATTTATAGGGGTTTGGTTTGTTTGTAGTTTGATTATGCATTGATGTTAGTTAAGGAGCATTGAAAACCAGGGAGTACTAGACAGCTGTCTTGTCCTATTTAGGGACTCTTCAGCTGCATGAGCACACGGCTTCGTCGGTGATCAAACCCATGATCATTCCCGGACTTATCGACCAATCAATCAGGTGGGGTTTGATCCAATACCTCATGAATTCTAACTCATATCAATTCACGATTTTAGCACCTCTTAAGATCATACCGGTTTTAAAAATTTAAGTTATGTGGTGTTGGAAAATCGCAGTGTCTCAGTGAAATAGTGTTGTTTGAGTTTAACTTGAAATCTGTTTTTTATGCTAAATGCCGCTAGGGAGTGACATAGAGCACGAAGACTTCTGGTGTGGAACTCATGTATTTGGCAAAGTTAGATACTGTAATGATTCAAGATTAAACTTCACTTTGCACAAAATATTGCTTTCAATTTGTTTATTGGATATTTGACACGCAGTGAAACAGTATTACTTACTGGATGATAAAGTTTTGAACATAATTTATTGTTTATTATCAAAACACCACTTATGGCTACACAAATTCGAAATTTGATTTTTATAGTGCTCCTCCTCCTCTCCCATTTGTTATAAGGGTATTGATATTTTCCCAGATGTCCGGGATAAGTGTTGAGTCACTTCTATTGCACGTGTCCTCAGTTGATTCGATAAGTAAAGCCTCAAATATCAATCTCTTCTTCAATCCTGTTACATTGGATTCTAATGCATTACATGCAGTTATACGCAACCGTACACTAGGATGGGGCAGAGTGACTGTTTAAAATCTAGCATAACAGGGTAGACGAAGAGACTGATGACTAAAGTTTTGTTTAGCAAATCAACTGAAAATAATCACCATAGGAATGGTTCATCATTTGGCCCAGACATCTGGAAGATTTTAACACCCCTACGACAAGTTGGACAAGGAAGGATGAGAACTATAAAAACCAAGTTTCGAAAATATTCAGTTACAACTGATGATATGATTATGAACAGTAAACTTTGTCATCAGTGAACAATATTGTTTCACTGTGTGAAATATCCAATGAACGAACTAATACGGAATTACATAATTCGGCAGTGTCCAACTTTCATACATACACATTTAACGAGGTCTTTATGCTTTCTCTATTGACTCATTATTTTCTTCATGTTTCTTGTTTTTGCCACTTTATCTAACGTACTTCTATTCAGGAGTTGTGTAGAAGACGTAATATTATGTACTGCTTAAGAATTCTCGCTTGTCACAGTATCATAGTGTCTTAAACAGTTGGTGTCTAATCCCTGACTGTTAAATAATGCCGTTGCATACTTCATATTTTCATTAGACACGGAAGTTACCCGATAATGGAGACTATCTGAGATATTATTCCACTTCTTATGCAGTCCTTACTACTACCATTCATCAACCGTGTGGAATAGTGTTCTTGACGTTTTCCAGACAGCATATACATATATCAATTCACCTGTTCTTATGGTGCCAGGTATATTGATTATTCAACGCGTGCGTATCCTGTCTCTAAAAGGGTTGAAGAACACTATCCTAATTGATTTCAGGAAGTTAGCAGTGACTCTATCAGGAGGAGAAATACGGTGACTAGATGCTTTGTTGACATTGGTGATTGGATTTCAACAAACTCCCTCTTCAAAGTAAACTATTTGAAATAGTCTTTGGTTGGCAGACGGCAATCAATGCAGTAGGTGGCGATGATGTGAAGGTTGAATAAAAATATAGGTCGCAGTTGTATTAGAACCAGCGACGGCGTTCAAATTACTCGTTTGGCGCTATACCAGATAATCTCTTGAATCCTGTCGTGAGTCCTATTCTCAGTTCGCATTCAATCATCACCCACTATTGTGATTATCAAATTTATTAAAACTTTGATTATTTAAATCAAATATTTCCTTTTTCTTATTTATTTATTTACTTAACCAGGTGCCAAGTTCAAGTATATCAGCCAATGGTGTTGCATCTGAAAGGAATCAATTAAGAACGCCTGCTTCATCTGTTAATCCTGTAGGAAATCATCAACCGCCTACATTTGATCATTTCGATTTAATGAAAAAGCGTAAACAACAATCATCATCTGTTGATCGGTATGATGAAGTGCCTTCTCTGAGTGAAATTACATCAGGTAATTGACAAGGTTATTATCATTGTTATTATTATTATTAACTTATGAATATCGGTTTGTATTTCTGGATAATTGTGATGCATTATTGTTACTTTCATTGATTGGCAATAATCATAGGTCATTTTGTAGTGTAATAAAGGATTTCTTTCTCTGCGTATAAAGATAGCAGGGATTCTGAGTTTGTATTGATCATAGTAGCTAGCACTTGGGCTTCAGACGCTGACTGTTCAGTCAAGTTGACTGAGGGATGATGACTAAATTTGAATAATTTTCTTTATCATAAAACTATTAGTGGTCGGATTAAAACGAAACACTTAATCATGAAGTCCCTGATTACCATTTTGAGACGAAGTGTTATTTATTACTGGAGTCTTCAATATTTAAAGGATTAATGGTTAACGGCTTTTAGTATATTATTATTATTGTTTCCTTAGGTTTCAAATAGAACATGTGACTTCAACAGCACATCTCTATTTTATCCTGTTTTCTGTAGTCCCTTTAAACTGGTCAACGGTTCCCCATAAGGTCTCATCTTTTCCTCATATCTGCATATCACTCTGGGAAGCCCATCGAACTCATCATTTCTATTCAGGTTCCACTCAAGCGACGGTCTGGCGTGTGTAATGTCACTCAATGGTCTCCTCAGCGTGTGTCCAATAAATCCTCATTTACATCGGGATGTTTATTTGGCAATAGGTTTTTGATTGGTTCGTTGACAGAGTTCCTCGTTGCTGATTCTTTCCTGCTGGTCATCTTATCTTGAGTATGGAGCAGCGAAGCTAGCTGTTGATCAACAGTCTGCAGCCTGCTCGAGGATGGGTCGGGTTCGATTCCCGCCTAGTTGGATTTGAGTCTAACAAACGTATCTCTTTATAACCACACAATACCGCCGCCACTGAGACGTCAAAGCTTAAAACTTGTAGCCCAGTGTTGCATTTGAAACGCTAGGAATGAAAAAATGTTAAACATAGATGGCACAGTGTTAGTGTTTGACACCATCCAAACATTCATTCTAATGCCAAAGTACATGAGAATAGGAAGTGTTTAGACTTCGTGTAGATTCAAAGCAAAAGACGCCTTATTTATTTATCATACTGTTTACGTTTAGTCTAAGATAACTGAAATACAAGATATTTCCTTTTAGGTTCCCAACACCCAGGAATCAGTTATTGCTCACTTCAAGTAAGAAGGGTGTCATTTACGGCATAAAATTATGTTTTTGTCCCACTGTAAATAATGTGTATTCTATTAGATGTATTAGATGCATTGTTTAACTTTTTTCCCAGCAGTTTAGTTTTACATCTTGGTATTCTAGATTTTCTTTAAATGTGAAGCCCTTAGTGTGACTCTAGGTCCTGGTGGCCTAATGGTGGTTCAGTGGTAGAATGTTCGCCGACCCGCCACACGCCTCAGGTTCAATTCCCAGTCGATCTTGCTTGGCTGGGTACTAAGGTCAGTAAAAATCTCGAAGGTTGGGTGTGTGAAGCTGGTGAAACTTCTAATCTCAAGCTCAAGGCGGCTCCACTGGGAACCAAAACGAATGAAGGAAAACATTATGGTATATTCAGCCCAGTTACACACTGGAGCTACGAGCTCATTGGTTTAGGTATCCATCTTTCAACCAAGTATCCCTTTACAAGTTCTAACCTAATTATACTTATTATCTACAGAGTTTTGAGCATATTATTATTATTGTTCCCTTGGGTTCCTAGTGGAGCATACGGCTTCAGCTGCACGTCTCCATTTGCTTCTGTCTTCTGTTGTACTTTTCACCTGCATCCATGTTAGTCCATACTGTTTCAACTCCTCTTCACACGATCTCCTTCATGTCACCCTTGCACTGACGTCCCACTCGCCGCTTTCCTTTCGGCCTGGTTCCACTCGAGCAATGGCCTGACGCGCGTGCGATGTCACCCAGCGGCCTCCTCACCGAGCGAGTGTCCAATCCATCTCCACTTTCTCCTGCATATTTGTTGAACGATCAGTTCTTGTTTTGTTTGTTCCCATAGTTTCTTCTTGGTGATTCTTTCCGGCCATCTAATCCTCAGTATAGAGCGAAGACAGTTGTTTGTCTGTGAAGGTCTGCAACCTGTTGTCACCCTGCGGCCTCCTCAGCAAGCGAGTGTCCAATCCATCTCCATTTTCTCCTGGTTATTTGTTGGTTGGCGATTGGTTCTTGTTTTGTTTGTTCCCAGCCATAGTTTCTTCTTGTTGGTGATTCTTTCCGGCCCGGCCGTATGATCTTCAGTATAGAACCAGCGAAGACAGTTGTTGATAAAGGTCTACAATAGCCTGTTGGTGGAAATATTCTTTGTGACCCGCTCGCCAAGTTTCTTATCCGTTCCGTATAGAAGAACTGACGTGACGTTTGTATTGTATTGAAAATCCGATTGAATTTTGTTGTTGATGCTGAGTGACAAAGATTTCCAGATTGGTTTCAGGTTGGTGAATGTGTTTCTCGCCTTCCAATTATTCTCGATTTGACGTCCTCGTCTGTTCAGACTCTCTGTAGTTGAGACAATGCTCCCTAGATAAGTGAATAAAGTGACCTCTTTCAAGTCCCTCCCGTTAATGATGATTGACGCTGGATGTTGCTACTGTTGTTGTTGGTTGGTTATTTGCATAACCTCCGTCTTGTCTATGTTTACCTAGAGTCCTGTGTTTGCTGCTTTTTCGACCAGTTTGTCAGTTTTTGCTTGTAAGTCTTCGATTTTGTGTGACATCAAACATGAATCATCTTCGCGCGAAATCCAGGTCTTCTAGGTTCTTCACGTCTATCGGTCCAGGATATCTCTGTCTTCTCGTTTCCCACTGTCTGACGCATAATCCAGTCAGTCCACCACAATTATGAATATCATTGGTGATAATAATCACCCTTGTCTGACTCCTGTGTTTATTCCAAACGCCTTGCTGAGTTTTCCGTTGTGGATGACTTGACATGTGCTGTTGTCGCACAGCTGTTGAATAAGGTTGATGAATATTTGGGGTACACCGTAGTACTCGAGTAGTTTCCAAATTACTTCGCGGTCAACGCTAACTGTCGAAGGCGCCTTCTCAAAGTCTATAAAGTTGAGTTTTGAGCATATCGGTGCTTTTATTATCTGTTCTTGCCTATGTGCGTCGGTGGCACAGTGGTTAGGACTCTCGCCGACCATGCACGTGGTCCGGTGTTCGAGCCCACGCCGACGCACACCTGATATCTATGGTTGGCCTGCGAAATTTGGGCTATCGATATCCATGCTGAAAATTCCATACTTGTACCAAAAATACAGTGTGGAATCAAGCTGTAATCAAAAATAAAAGAAAATAAATAAAAAATAAAAAATGTTGAGCTGGGCTTGGTGCTTTTATGGCTTTATACCTAAATGCAATTGAGTTTCACACATGTGTGATCGGAGTTTTAATGTGCCATAAAAGGAGGATCTAGGGTATCTAGTGGCTGGCTGGCTGTATTGATAAAACTAAACAGTTATTTCAAAACGCCTTTTCTGTATAGAATAAGTACACTTCAACTGTTGTATGTATGTATGTATTTAGGAAAAAAATTCAGAGGCTTTAAAATGAAATGACATGAAATTAGCATAATTCATTAATTAATTATACAATGGAATTGTGTGTCTGTGCGTGTGTTTGAGTATGTTAGTCTGATAAATTTGACAAATTACCTTTCTAAAAGTAGATTTATTTATTTTTTCTTTTAATTTTTAAGTGTTGTTTTATTGTTTCACTACTTTAAACAACATAGATTTTTCGCTCTTGTTTAATGCTTTGACACTAGCCTAGCGATTGTGTATTATAATTATTATTCCCTTTGGCTCCAAGCCGAACATATACAGATGATATAGTCCTTCTAGGTTAAGACGCTAACAAAATGAAGAGTCTTCTCAACACCTTGACAGGCAGCAATCTTCGAATGTTTGGCATGAGATTCGTTCCTGTGAAATGTAAGATAATGTTACAGGGCTGAATCATATCGACTCCTAGCTTAAAGATAGGTAGTGAGTGAAGTGGGGGATCATTCTGACTACTTCCCTTATTTGGAAAGTTGAATCATCCCCAACGGGTTGTTCGCTGATAAAATCTCAGCACGGATATAGAAGGCTCGTTTGGCATTTTTCAGTCAACTTACGCCATCTCTGGCGTAGACGTGATATCTGGCTGTCGACCAAAGGGCGTGTGCTACTCAGCAGTTAGCTCTGTCCTGTTTTATGGCTGGCTGTGAGACATAGTCATTAAGAGTGGAAGATATATAAAGTCTGACTCACTGTCCTTAATCATGGGTGCCTGCGTTCTATTTCCCGTGTTAGGTGGTATAATAAAGTGAGCAATATTGAGGTTAGGCATCAGTCGAGTACTAGGTAGGTCGGGGGGGGGGGGGAATCAATTGACGACGTTGTGAAGTCACACCGATTGGGAGGGTTAAGACATGTGTTTCTCATGCCTAGCCACCGCCTGCCTCCACAATGGGTATTGTTAGCTGATACAGGATGGATCAGGTTGAAAAAGAGCTAGTGGTAGTCAAACCAAAACATGGCTTCATCAGTCAATGAAATCCACAATAGTTAGTTTGAGCCAGTCACTTAGGGAGGTGTGGACTGCTGTCTGGTTGGGGTCGTCGGGATGGTCAAAAGCAATGGCTGGAGACAATCGGTGATATGGCTCAAAGTCGTTCTCAATGGCTGGTTCAAATGTATAATGTGTAATAAAACCATACTGTTTTTCGATATTACTATTCTTTTTGCCCATATTTGTGTTTATTGTCTTTGTTTTGGATCTCTTTTTTACTGTGTTCTCTTGTTTTGTGCGCTACGTGAAGTGTGGCAACTCGAACCGCTGCGCATCTGTGTAGAGTTCTATGTTGAGACCAGTCAGTCACTCAGTGGAACTTAGGGCTTCAATAACACATATGCACTTTCTGCTATTTTCTGCCGTCGTCTTCAGCTGGCTGGGCCCACGATTGCCCATGATCTTTCATCTCTTCTTCCCCAGCACACGATCTCCTCCATGTTACCCTCACGTCGACGACCCACTCGTCGCTTCGGATTCCACTCCAGTAATGGTCTGAATTGCGCGCTATGTCAGTGTATGCTCTATCCATTTATATTTTCTCCTACATGTTTGTTGTGCGATCGGCTGTTGCTTGTTGGCGTGTTCCCAGCCAGAGTTTCTTGTTGCTAATTCTTTCTCGCCGGCCAGCCATTTGATCTTCAGTACGGAGCTAGTCAGTGAAGGTGTCAGGTGTTGATAAAAGTCTGTAACTTGTTGGAAATCTTTTTCGTGACTCACGCGCAATGCAAGTTTCTGACCCGTATAGAAGAACCGATTGACTGACTTCACATTTATGGTGAACAACATCTGAATGTTGTTGTTTATGCTGGGTGAGTGAATATAGAAGATTTCCTAACTGGGTTCAGGTTGATGAAGGTGTATCTTGTTTTTCTAATTGTGCCTGGTTAGTGTTCACATCTTGATCCGTTCAGCTGGCCTGTAGTTGTAATGATGCGATTGTGTAGACCTTTGTTTTTACCTCGAATTAGCATCGTTAGTCCCTTTTACACCTATGTGATTGTGGTAATTATGTCTTAAGTGTCTTTATTTTAATTTTCTCCAAAACAAGTATGTCTATTTTTATCTTTCGTCAGCACAACCACCTATTCGACGATTGTCGAATAATAGACCGACGCATTCAGAAACTAGTAGTCCTTGGATTCATGGAAATCAATCTGTTGCAGAACATCAAAATGGTAATTTAGACGCTACAGCAATGATGAAAGCAGCTGATTCATTTGAACAATTGGCAGCATTAGCAGAAGCACAGTTAAGCTGTAATAATTTAGGTGTCTCTGGAGATCCTAATCCATCTATTAATACACTATTTCATCAGTCTCAAGTCACTTCTACAGGTAGTTATCGTTTTTCTGTTGTTGTTATTGTTGTTGTATTTGGGAAACATCCCTATCTCTTATATTCATTGGTGTCATCTGGAAGTAAAGACAGCCAGGTGGTTTCTATCAGTGATGCCCATTGTCCGCATTTTTGTTTGATTTCATCATAAATATACTAATGGAATGTATGACCCTAATCGATTTTGGCCTCTGAGAATTACTGATTATCGGGAGTCAGTCTTGTCAAATTAGTGTGACTATTGACTTTCTTAGTTGAAGCTATTATCAGAATGGAATGTTTTCTGAACACCTTGAGTAGAATATTTATTATTTATGTTATGCAATATTTTTCTGTCCTAAGTAACCTTATGCTTCAGAATTGATTTGCTCTACTTCCAGGTTTAAACCTAGGAGTGAAGTGGAAGGTTGTATCAGTCTTAATGAACTGTTGGATAACGAAACCTCACCACGGATATAAAAGGCTGGCAAGGCATTTGCCAACCTACGTCAACTCTGACATAGATGTGATACCCTACTATCGATCAAGGGACGTGTGTACTGCACAGATTTTGTCTCTGCCCTTCTTTGCGATTGTAAGACATGGCTAATTGAAAATGGAAGATGTGAAGAGGCTAACTGTCCTTCAGTACAGATTTTAGTGCTCTATGTTAAGTGGTGTAATATGATGTGTAATATTGAGGTAAGGTGAAAAGTATTGGGTAGGGAGGGAAAGTCAATCTATGTTGTTGTGAGGCTTTATCGATTCGGATAGTTAAAACGCTTGTTGTGCATACGGAGTCACCACTTTCCTCGTCAAACAATGTTAGCGGCATTGGAATTATTTTGGAGGAGAGTTCAGGGTAGTCAAAGAGAGTGATAGCATTATTTCATGATGTGTTTAACCATTGGTGTGAGCCAGTTACATAGGAAGGTGTAGATTTCGTGGTCAGGGTCGCTGGTACTCTACGAACCAATGATTGGAAATGTTGATGTGGCTCAAAATCCCGTATGGTCTAGGGTTATTAACTTTTCCTTTAGATTTTTGTGTACACCTCGTTTATTGAAGAATATTTGTACGCTTGATTGTACTACTAATTAATGTTGAATGAAGATTGATTAAATTGCCTCGTATAAATGAGTAGTTATTATGCCCATTGGTTTCTTTTGTGAGCTATTGTCGAGTGAACAGCGTCATAAAAAGAGAACAAAGATTATACTGTGACGAGTCATTCGTTTGAATAAAATGAATTACAACAATTGTGAAGTATTGATTGATGACGACTTCCAACCTCGTCCTACCTACCACCGGGGTTTAGCCGGCTAGGTAGTATCGTTAGAGAAGATTTGTATTTCAGGTGGATAATTGTGATGTGGTTGCGTTCTCTCTGAGCTTGGTGGTTGAATTTCTTAGCTTTTATTATTCTTCAGCCCAAACTTAATTTCATTTCAGTCATCGCATGACAGCTAAACGTAGTTCTTAGTGACTTCATTGGGATTTAGAGTTGGCTGGGGATTAAACAGAGAGCCAGACGATGGTATAAAGGAGACAGCTGGTCTGACTCTAACTGCAATCAAGTTTTCCATGTTCCTTCTGATTAACACCCATCACTGTCTCACTACTTTATTTATTTACAGTTGCACTGTGTGTAACTACGTGATTTAATTCAATTTATATAGTTCAGTCTTAATCTTTGTCTTTTAAAATGTTGTAGCTTATCAACCCCAAACCTCAATCAATTCACAACCATTGTCCACGACACGAAATGGGCAAAAATCCCATATATTTGGTGGTGTCAGCGTCCTTCCTAGTTACAGCAACAGTGGAGGCGGTGGCAATAGTGGTGTAACTAATGGTGATTCAGTGTCCGCCAGTCACAACTTCATTCCATCCTCATCAGCATATGACCTTCAGCAGGCTCAACAAGAACAATATTCACAATCAAATCATCCAGTTTCCTTGGCCTCATCATCTTTTGATCTTGACAACAGTAGCGGCAGAAAATTCTCATCACCAGCTACAACAGGCCTAAGTGGGCAGGATACTTCTACGGATAGTGGTCAAACCACTGGTCTTGTATGTCATAATCGTGTATCCGAAAAGATTCAAAAGTTAGTCAACACTTTAAAACGTCCTAAAAGGTATCCACTGCCAGAATACTTTTTGGATGATGAAGATCAGGTGCTTGTAAGACCTGTGGTCGACCCGACAGCTCCGCGTCCAAGAGGTCTTCCATCTGAACCGCTAGTTGGTGAAGAATTAGTGGTAAGTGCTTTCATATAAATTGACTGATCTTTCACTGTTGTGTCATTCAATGTTCAGTCGTGGCTAACAAAAATCATTTTATTTTTTCCCTTTGTATATTATAGATACCTTCTGGCTTACCACGGAATTTAGAGTCAGCACTACAGCGTTATGCTAGTTTAAGTTGTAAAACACCAGCGTTAACCTGTTTAGATGTATCTGGCCGGCCTACTCAAGTGTTGACTTATGCAAAATTACTTCAGGTATGTTTAACTTACTCTCTTTCTTTCTTAAGAAATACGTAGTGATATCGTTTCTTTTTCTTGAATTTTCAGATTATAGGGTTTGTGGGGGTTTCAGATTAAATTCAGATTTTTTTGGGTTGTCGTCATCAACCAACATCACTTGAGAAGATAGCTGTTTCGTCCTGGTTTTACAGCTGTTCATCAGTGTTCACCAGTGACCCCATTAGAGATGGAAGCGACAACCTTCTGATGACGAGATTGAGCTTGTTAATCATTCAGTCATTTGGTTCGGGATTCAGTGACCTCTGAATTCTAACTGTCAACCATCTGCCCTTAGTAATACCTTCCACGAGCATCCACTTCACCCTGACATGGGCAGCGGTTTATCAGGAATTGACAGATTTAGAATTCAGGGACCATTGAATTCCAACCCAAGTGATTGATCTCGGTCTCATAGTCTGTAGGTCCAGGTTTCGATGCCTGGCGAAGTAGTTGGGTTGATCACTGCTGAGAAATCTCAAGCTAGGGAGAAACAACTATCCAGTGCTCCTTGATTTCAATGACCTCTCTAACAGGTGGTTGGTTCGTGACGAAAATTCTAGAATCTTCTTTGTACTGCCCCGCTGTATATCAGTTACACCATCTTTACAATCAGTTACTAACTAATAGTCATCATATAATATTGTTAAGAGCATTTAAACAGTTTCATAATCTGAGCATTTAATGAGTAATTATTGGCAAAACAATGAACTGAATAACATTTTTCAGGTTAGAGAACCATTGAAAAGTCGGGAGTTCTGAACACAACTGGTTTTCAATAGTTCTTTAACTGGTCGATGTCACAGTCGATGATGAAATCCAACTTGAAATGAAACATTTGACCTCTAAGCTGCTGAAGTTTCAGTATCGGTGTTGTTGTTTTTGCAGGATGGGTTCCTGTTCTCTCACGTTCAACTATCCCTCTTTTCCAAGTGTACTGCTAGCTAGGCGAAGTTTAAGAGTACGTCGGTTGGGAATCGAGTTTAGTTGATGATTATTCAACCATCGGACCACTAACGACACACTAAGGTAAAAAAAATAAAGATGCAGTATGAATACAACCACACACTACTGTGGTTGTTTCCTAGCCATATCATCTAGCGTCAATATTTTCCTAGCCGTTCCGCTCAGACCAGCAGTCAATGACTGCGTAGGTTTACTGTAGCTACCCTTCGCTTTCTTTTTACTATTGCTTACTTCATCTGACATTCAGCGTTAAAATGGAGGACATGGGAAAAAAAATGGCTTACTGACTTAAGCATTCGTCTTTCATTCAGCGGGCCTTGGGGTTCGAATCCTTTCTTGCCTACTTCAACCTGAGCAGTTGAATGTTGTTACATACGGAGTGTGGTTCGTAGCCTGAAACATTAGAGGTCTGTTCTAAGGACTCATTTGGAACAAATAAACAAACAATCTAGTTGATAATAATCACCCTATCTCTATAGCCTCTGCCTTTAAAGTCATCTACAAGGCAAAAAGTAATTTACCGAAATCACTACGTACCCGATAAATGAATATGCGCTCTTCACATCTCAGCCTTTTCAGTCTGTGGAGATGTATAACTACATAATATAATGATTCTTACCGATAGTACTGCATATTTTTGTTATTTTATGTAACATTTTTTTCATTCCATGGGTGAACACTGATAAACATTGGAAATAACCTTTGAATATTACTTACATAAGTACACATAAGACCCTAGTCAAATGAGTACATGAATTGATATTCAGTTGTCATATGACAAAATGTTTTTTTTATTACCCTATATGAATTGTAATAAACATAAATATATTAGAACGTGTCACCCAACTTAAACAATACATTCTCGGTACAATTATGAATAGTACCCAGTTTGTAACATTCTATGATTGTCAGTATGTGTGTGTGTGTGCATGTGAATTACATGTAAGCTCGTTTTTTTATCAAAAGAAGGTTGAGACTGCATATATAGCACTTAAATGTTCAAAGGTTTAATTTTAATGGGTTCTCTGCAGGACCCAGAGCTGATCAGTTCCAGTCACGTCACATAGTAGAGCTCATTAACCTGATAATGAGCTATAATTCACACTGACTTTGTGACGACTAATCATGCTTCTCAGTTGGTCAGATTGAAGTAGACAGAGAGGGACTCGGACTAGGGACGCGAGTAGCATGTAAGTTGAAGGGTTTAGGCCAACAGGCTACATCTCCATTCTTCGAGAATGCATAAAATACCTTGTGTTAAAGAACTATGATGAAGTAACTGTATATGTAAGCTGAGATTTGATAAATTCTGGTTTAATAAAGCAATTAGCAGCACTGAATAGCAAAACGCCAGTAAAAACAACAATATCATTTTGTTTTTCCAGTTATTGAGAAATAGAAAGTGAGGATTAGAGAGGTTTTGTGTGCATTTCGGATTGTGAGGGCGTTTGCTACTTCCCGGCTGCCCACACCGTGGAAGTTGGTTGCGTGACTGCAGAGCCCAGGGGACAACTGCTTGAGGCCGGTTACACGCGACCTGTTTTTGTCTTTTCCTTTTTGTTTGGTGTGTCTCAGTAGCATACTTATCACTCCTGCCCTGTGACACGGCAGCAGGAAGCGCGGTCGTTGTTAATCCGGGCCACGGCCGATCCGGCATGATATTTTGTGAATTTGTTTGAATCATGGTATTGGATGGGGTAGCTGCTTTTTGTTTAACCGCTATCCAAATAACCTGCCTGGCATGGTAGAACCTCAAGAGACATAAGTCTCAGCCAGTATAGCTTGATTAGGTCATTGCGGTGTTCAAGCCCGACCACCACGTCAAGGTAGCAGCTTTCGGTCGGGTGAGAAATAGAAAACCTGTTTCATGGTAATAAAAATATGAAATAAATCAATTAAAAGTCAAAAGCCATGTTAATAAGCTAGAAAAAGAGAAGTCTATTACGGTTTGTCTTCGAATGCTTACATCAAGAAGACTTATTGTAATATTATTATTCCCTTGGATTCTGAGTGGAAATTAGGATTCCAGCAACATATTTCCATTTCACCCTGTTCTCTGCAGTCCTTTTTATTTAGCTGCACAACCCCTACACAGTCTCCTCCAAGTCACCCTCGGACGCCCAACTCGTCGTTTCCCATTCGGTTTCCACACGAGGTCGTGGCGCGTGATGTCCCTCAGTGGTCTTCTCAGTATATCCCTGATCAGTCTCCACTTTCTTCGGGATATTTTTGTTAGACGATAAGTTCTTGATTGTTTGATTGGCATGTTTCCTTGTTGTTAGTTCTTTCCTGCTGACCATCTGATCTTCAGTATGGAGTCAGCGAAAGCAGCTGTTGATTAAAATCTGCAGTCTAGTTGGAAATACAAATGATGTGAATCCAATTCATCTTCATAATGTTTCTCATGTTCTTTTCTTTTTTTTTCTTACAGCGGGCTATCCGAATTGCCTACACCTTATTAAATAAATTAGGTCATCGTGGGGAACAAAGCTTGAAGCCTGGTGATCGTGTTGCCTTGGTATATGCTAATAATGAACCAATCAGTTTTCTGTGCGCATTCTATGGATGTATTTTAGCTAGTGTTATTCCCATAGCAATAGAAGTTCCATCAGCTCGTCGAGTAAGTGTTTATTTCTTTTCTGTGCATATTAGAGGTAATGAGAGATTTACAGAGTAAGCTGTGATATCAATTTCGCCGTCATTCAATCTTAGTTGAACTATATTCATCACTTTATGCCGATTATGCAGCTTCATTCAATTTACTTAATTTCATTTTGCTTTAGTGTCTGTGTAATTAGTTTTTCTGTATTACGTAATTCGAAATCTTTTGTTTTCTAAAATCTAAAAATCGAATAGCATATCTTGTTATCTTTTTAAGTCAGTGTTTTCTTTCCCTTTGATTGATTGAACCGAAATAATCGGCTTCTCTTGATATATCGGTTCCTAATACGGTCACTTCGACTAGGTTTGAGGAATAACTTCAGTCAGTTTGATGGATGGTGACTGGCAATGGGATCTAAGGTGCGCATTTCGTCCTATTCAAAACTTCTCAGATGGATGTGTCACAATCCGCAGTGACTGGTGGTGCTGCTCCCTCTGAGACTCGAACCCAGCATACATCGTTTGAAATGCCAAAGCGCTATCCATTAGACTACTCGGGTTACGAGAACCCCCCCCCTCCCACCTCATTTGACAGGTATTAGGTATCCTTTGTTCAAGTCAGTTTTGCTTAGCAAACACATTTAGCTGACAAGTCACAGATAAGATGAAATGCGTAATTCGGATTTCATAGATAGCTGGTGTCACTGGGAAGAATCAATTCTTCACTGAACACCGTATCGTTTGTATAACATAATGTGTTGTGTGTGTGGAGGGTGAATTTCAATGCTTACTGAACACACCTTGTTATAGGATTGTTTCATTTTATGAAAAGTTCATTATTTCATCCTTCAACTTATCTTCATTGTTCTTTGAAACCTGAAAATACTCTTGTACAACTACTTTCTTAAACAGTTAGCACAGACTCTGTACAGTTTGGATTATTTCGCCTCCTTTTTAGTAAATTAATGAATGAATGTGAAATTAACAAATTCAACTAAATGTGAGGTACTAGGTTGAGTATGCTGGCCACTAGTTAATTAAGAATCGGTATCAACCCCCAACCATTATCCCCATTTCTACTCAATTTCATCATAGATGTACTAATGAACTTAACCCTAACTCACTTCAGAGACTCAGGGATTGACTTGCTACCAGGGAATAATCTCGTTGACTTAGAATATGCAGACGATGTAGTCCTTCTAGGCGAGGACGCTGACAAAATGCAGAGTCTTCTGAACACCTTGACAGCAGCAATCTTCGAATGTTTGGCATGTGATTCGCTTCCGCCAAATGTAAGATGATGTTACAGGACTGGGCTACACTGACTCCTAGTTTAGAGATAGGAAGTGAAGTAGTAGAGCATGTTGACCAATTCACCTATTTGTGAAGTACCATCAGCCAGTGCCAACGGGTTGATCGCTGGCGAAATTTCAGCACGGATACAGAGGACTAGTTTCACATATGCCAGTTTACGCCATCTCTGCCGTAGACGTGATATCCGACTATCGATGAATCAAAGGACTGCGTGATATGTACATTGAAAGTGGAAGAAGATATGAAAAGACTAGATGTCTCTGATCGTAGATGTTTGCCTTCTGTTTCCGGTGTTAAAAGTTGCATTATATGGTGAGTAATGTTTTGGTTAGGCGTAGAGTGTTTGGTAAGGAGAAGTCAATGGATAAGGTTGTAAATCTACATCCGACGAGATAGCTGGGACATGTGTTGTTACGCATGCGAAGACATTGCCTTAATGAAGTAGTCAGTCCTAGCTAACATAGGATTAGGTTGGAAAAAGAGCTGTCTGTCTGTCTGGATTCAACATAGAACTTGGCACCGAAGTGCACCAGTTCGAGTTGCCACCTTCCAAATAGCACACAGAGGTAAACAAGAAGATGAGTGAAGAGAATCAATAGAGTTTGACAAGTATAAGAGTGAAACAGAATAATGGGTAATGGTAGAAAGGAATATGAAAGATTACAGAGACTGAATACATCTGCGCTGGCCATTGACAACGATTTTGAGCCATGTCACCTATTGTCTCCAGCCATTGATTCCTAGAGTCCCGAGGGCCCCAACCCGGGAGTCTGCATCTCCCTACCTGACTCAGTTTAACTGTTAAGGATTTCATGGGTTGATGAGGCCATGTTTTTGTTTGGCCACCACTTACTCTTTTCCAACCTGAACCTATATCAGGTAGTAATGCCCGTCGGGGCATGCGCAGCGCGTGACCTAGCCATCTCAATCTGTGTAACTTTATAGCCTCGTCGATTGATTTTCCCTCTTTGCCCAACACTCTACGCCTAACGTCAACATTACTTACCTTGTGAAACCACCTAACGTGAGACAGAGATCGCAGACACCTATGATCGAAAGCAGTCAACCTTTTCATGTCTTCAACGCGTATTGGCCATGTTTCAGAGCCATAGAGAAGGACGGAGCGAACTGATGAGCAGTACACACGTCCCTTGGTTGATAACCGGATGTCACGCCTACGCCAGAGATGGTGTAAGTCAGCGAAAGCAGCTCTAGCTTTTCGGATCCGTGCTGAGATTTCATCGCCAATCAGTCCGTTGGTGCTAATACAACTTCCCAAATAGGTGAATTGGTCAACATGTTCTATCACTTCACTCCCTATCACTAAGTTAGGGGTTGACGTGGTCCAGTCCTGTAGCAGCATTTTACATTTTGTAGGGGCGAATCGAAACCTGTCATCAATCCATAAAATTTGAGTGCTATTCTGAGCCAACCAAGTATATAGGTTTAGACTGTCTCATTGGGGTCGTTGGAACGCTAAGAACCTAAAGCTTGAGACTGTTCTCGGTGGGGGGGCGTGTTTTCACTTTTGCAATCTTCAAGGTTCATCAAGTTCTTATGTTTCTGTATGCGACTAGCCTTTCTTACAATACGCGTCTGTACATCGTGTTTCTTTTCAGTTTTGTTCTCTTATTTTGTTTACTAATGTCTAGGTGTGGTAACTTGAACTGGTATACTTCCGTTCAAATTGTCACGAATTGGTTTAGTTAGTGAAAATAAACATTAAAATTTGGTTATCTTCATTAAATTTATCTGATAATGTGTTGAAGCAATAGTTTGTAGGTTTGTGAGTCCCTGTGGGTAGTGGTACAGCATCACTTAGTTGGGGGTGGGGGTGGGGGCATAAGAGGTGAACCCGACCGATGAGCTCAGAATAGGACGAAACACTTGTGAAACAAGTATATAAATATAATACAAGTTATAAATCATGGTGATGTCGAGACACGCGTTCAAAGTACTCATACTTTAATGTGGCCGATCAATTTTGTTCAGGTATCTAAACAGGAAATCATAAGTATGATTAGGCTATTGAATACTTGCTTTCCCAAATTCACCCCTTACTGATAGTTTTACAGAAGTTAATAAATTATTCAAAAAGTACTTTACAGGATTTCATTCATTCTGTTACGTGCATGAGTTTTTATCTTGTCTTATGAATATTACTCACTTTAAATGAAATAAGGTAAATAAGGTCGATATATGAAAGATAGTTTTAATTTTTATAAGTTGATCACGGATTGATATCAATTAGAGAACCATTGAAAACCAGAGAGTACTGGACAGCTGTTTCCATCGTTCTAGTTTGGGAATCATCGCCAGTACGCACCCACCACCAGGGTTCGAACCCAGGACCTTCCGGTTACAAGGCAAGCTCGTATACTGGGACCCGTTTCAATGGCTCATGAATTCTTCCTTCTACTAATTCCTAATTTAGCTCGACCACCACCACTGTTATTGGTGGGACATTCATCCTCACACGTGATATCTGGATGGACCTCACTGGTCACGACTTCTCACTAGAACTCCAGGAAACTCCATCTTGTAGCAAGTCACTAGCGAGGATCAGATTAATTTTCTATAGTTTGGTTTGTAAGGGTTAGTTGATCGTATTTTGTTGTTAATTGATGTATTTTTCTTGATAAGTGAATTACTATGTGTATCTTTTAACGTTGTTCTTACTATTCTTGTTGTTGTTATTGATATTCTTGAAAGGATGCATCATGTCAAAGTATGGGGTTTTTACTGGGTAGTCAAGATGCTAGAGTTGTATTAGCTAGTGAACAGTGTTATAAAGCGCTACAACGTAGTCCTAATGGTGATATCTTACCATTTCCTGGTTGGCCACGTGTTACATGGATTAATACAGATCATCATGCTAGTGGTATAAAACCACCAAAAGATTGGACTCCACCAGATCGATTAGCAAATGATGCAACTATGTATTTAGAGGTGAGTATTACAACTATTATTTATTATTTATTATTATTATCTAATCGTAATTATTTACTTTTTATTGATATAAGTATAAAAATTGGGCACTGCGTTAGAGTATAACTTCACCATAGATAACATTGTATTTTGATAAATCATACAGTGTTGTTATACAGTAATATTAACTGATGACGTTTCGAGCACAAACTGTTGCTCATAATCATATCAAGTTACTCACACAACTTTTTCCTTCATTTATATACATGTTTGGAATTGACTGGATATTTGAATAAAAAATCAATTTGAGATAATGTACATTCAGAAATAATAATACGAGTGTTATTGATCAAATACAACCAGATGGGAAATAAGACGAGTGTTTTTATATTCATAATGAGTAACTTGTTAGAATGTTGTGATGTGTTTGAATTGAAATAGAATTTTAAGATTATTTATTATCCTCTTCTGATTTGACTGGCGGTAATAATGTCTTCCATATTTCAGGTATTTGCATTGAGTCATTTCTGTTGCATATGTTGGGTGTAGACTGAATGAACCAGGATTCAACAATCAATGTCTTTTTCTCCATCTACCTATATTACTTCTTAGAATTTTAACCCTCTCCCATCCTGTTATGCGGTTGTGTGTTAATGCATGCAGTGCAATCGCTGAGCCTTTTTCTAAATTACTCATGTTCGTGCGTGGGATCATTCATTTTAACCTTAGCTAAATTCTTATATTTCGACAATTTGACTACTCCTACCTACTAGTTTGACCTATGTAGTTGACTTAGCTGACAGTCATTGGAAGGTTTTTTTTCCTAAATTATATTATTTTGTTTAATTGGATCCACCGGATCTTTTAGCCCACAGAGCTTGTCCTACCTGAGTCAGTTTGTAGGTTTGACTGCCACCCTAATTCCTGCCTTATTATCCTACCTAGAGTCTCAGACGTCCCCTCCTTATATGGTATAACAGTAGATGCCTTATTAGTTTCACCATTATTTCTTCGACCTTTTTTGATATTCCTCATGATTTTTATATGATAGTTATTCAACATCAACGCCTCTCCTATCTGTTTCATTTCATCGTTTAGGTTTACTTTTTAATGAGATGGTTCCTAGTTGTCTCATGGATTGACTTCAGTTAGAGAACCATTGAAAATCAGGGGAGAGCACTGGACAGATATTTCATCCTAGTTTGAGACTCTAGCCATAAGCAACTCTGGTCCCCACCGGGAATTGAACTTGAAATGTTGACGTTACGAGGCGTGGTCATTGACTGCCATTCAGCTACCCGGATAGAATACAACCGCCTATGAATTCTAACCACTGTCAGTTTCAGATGTACAGATGCACCATTATCGGTTAATGTATATTTGTCCTCAGCTCGCTAGTAAGTGCTTCCTAATTTTCAGTGGTTCTCTAACTGAAGTCATTTCATGATAGGACTGGAAATCAATTAAGTCACTGTAAACCAAAACTTTTGAAAATTAGATAAGTTAGCTGTTTTGCTTATATTTTCACATGTTTTATGGTTATGATTACCTCAATAGAAGAGGAAAAAAGAGGAATTTGGAATGTATGTACGTATCTATGTATGTATGTATGTTTGTATGTGTGTGTATGTAGTATGAAGTATGAAGTATATTTTTCATTTGTTTTCTTTGCAAGTTGTTCAGTCATGAATAGTATTAGTTTCAGCGGAAAGGTGAACTTTAAATGTTGTTTTGGTTTTTTTATTGTTAAGTTAGCAAGCATATGAACTGTTGGATTCTATAAGTTAAAACTCTATCACATCTGTAAAGGATGATTAGGCCGTTTTGAATATTGCAGAAATTCCCATTTAGACATTGAACCAAGAGGAATCTTTTCGATAAATTCCTCATCTGATTCTGTAGTCCCGTATACACATAATATTGTTATTGACAACCGACCATATTGATGTTAACTTCATAGTGCACTTCAATATGCTACTTGCAAGTATTTTATATAAGTAGTATATTGGGTAATGTCCACGAAGAAGTCAAGCTTGTGTCCAGAAGAAGAAGAAGAAGTTGTTGTTGTTGTTACTTTTGGTGACGTACCAAGTCTGTGACTGACCGACTGAATTAGCATTAGTGTTGAAAATCCGGCAGTTCTTTCTTGCAATAAACACAGCAGGTTTCCCCACTGATTTCAGATTAATGAATGTGTGTCTAGCTGTACAATCTCCATCTGTGCTGGATGTAGTTGCCTAGACAATTGGAAGGACTGACCTCCAAAGTTCTCGCGTTGATAGAGATTGGCAACTGTTGGTAGTTGAGTGGTGGTTAGCTATCTTCATCACCTTTATGTTCTCTGTGTTCGCCTGAAGTTCTGTCCGCCTGAAACGCTGTTTATATGTTTAGGAAGAAGCAGTTATCAGTCTCCCCCTGCCCATTCTGGTAACTGGATGTCTTTACTCTCTCTGTCTCTCTTTCATTCGATTACGCAATCTTTGGCTTTAATCTCTTCCCTTTGATATAGTGTAACTTTGCTTGTCTGTTGTTTTCATGATTTGAGTTGAATTCACCATATTGTGTTACCCAGCTTATTAGTTATTACTCATTATCTTGTTCACCTCTTGTCTTTATTAACTAACTCGTCAACGCAACCAAGCCTTTACTTTTGTTGGAAGTTGAACTATCTGGGTATACACTAAATAAGTGTAATTTTCTGAGCACTGTTTATTAAGTTTGAAGTCTCCTATCAACAGCCGTTACGTTGTAACAACAGAAGACAAGGGTCAGGCAACAGATCGTTTATTAAGGAAATCAACACGTTTTATATATTTTCATGCACATTATTATAGCTTATTCAAGCAAATAAACACAGTCTTCAGATTGGTTGTTTCTAACAGAAAGTTAACCTTGCATCTCTTTGTGACTGTTTCTTGAATGTCAGATCATCTACATGTTAACTGTATCCGCCTACGCAAAGTCTGCTGTGGTCGGTTGTTGAATCAGTATTTGTTCATATTTTCTCATGACCAATATTGTGGACGTAATAATAATAATAAATAATTTTTCCTTCACCTTCCCCAGTGGAACATACGGCTTCAAGCTAGTGGCTTGAAGTTTCTGTAGCAGTGTTTGTTTGTTAGGTGGTTTAATAAGGTAAGTAATGTTGACGTTAGGCGTAGAGTGTTGGGCGAACAGGTAAAATCAATCGACGAGGCTATAAAGTTACACAGATTGAGATGGCTAGGTCACGCGCTGCGCATGCCCCGACGGGCATTACTACCTGATATAGGTGTGGGTTGGAAAAGAGTAAGTGGTGGCCAAACAAAAACATGGCCTCATCAATCCATGAAATCCTTAACAGTTAAACTGAGTCAGGTAGGGAGATGCAGACTCCCGGGTTGGGGCCCTCGGGACTGACTCTAGGAATCAATGGCTGGAGACAATAGGTGACATGGCTCAAAATCGTTGTCAATGGCCAGCGCAGATGTATTCAGTCTCTGTAATCTTTCATATTCCTTTCTACCATTACCCATTTCTGTTTCACTCTTATACTTGTCAAACTCTATTGATTCTCTTCACTCATCTTCTGTTTGCCTTTGTGTGCTATTTGGAACGTGGCAACTCGAACTGGTGCACTTCGGTGCCAAGTTCTATGTTGAATCCAGACAGACAGTATGTATTACAGGATGGGTTTGCTAGCCTCATGCCCAACGCTTCCTCTTTTCCAGCGTTATTTCTGGCTTAGCGAGGTAAAGGAGTTCGTCGGCCGGGAATCAAACCCCGGACCATGTGCATGGTTGACGAGCGTCCTAACCGCTGTGCCACCGACGCACACATTTGGGGACGTAAACATTGACGTAAATTACTGTCTACCAATTTGGCTAGCGACCAGCTCTCACCACAACGTAACATTTGCAAGTATTTTAGACTTGTTCTGTACACAAAAACTCAGTAATTTCTTCAGTCTGTATGCAGCCGATAAGAAGCCAATAAAATAAATGATGGTACCATTTTAGTTCTGCACAAACCACTAGTGTTCACTTGCCTTATTCAAATTCACAAAGAGGAATAACTGTGTGAAGTCTAGTCTTTTCTGGCGGCTACTTCTTCTGCCGACTTTGTTGGTTTTCGCTTACCGATAGACCTTCGAGTTAGTTTTTGTGACAGTAGACATAAATTACCCATGATTTGCACATCTAAAAAACTCTACTAACACTCGAAAGTCTACTAGGAATGCTGTTGTAAAATATCGATGTTCTTTTGAAGAAGCCCAAGTGTCATCATCGTCATATTCTTTGGTAAAACTTATTTTCTTTTGTGTAGGGAGAGTATTTCATACATCGTTTTTTGGCTTTGTTGGTTGTTTTTTGTGTATGTGTGTGTGCGTATTTGTAATGTTTTCTTCTTCAAATATTTCTTCTACCTATCTTCTGTCTGTGTACAATAATTTTCAACATTCCAATATAAATCATATGCTACACATACTTATTTTTCCCTCTCTGTGTTCATCAAATCTTTTTCTGTCTATCTGTTTGTCTGATGTGTTAACAGCATTTAAAATACACCAGAGAGAGGAGTGATTGTGCTTAAAACTTCATGCTATTAATGTCTTTTGGCATTTTTTCACTTATTGTCCAAAGGTGTTTTGTTATTTTCGCCTCTTCTTCTTCTTCTCCTCCTTTTGAGGTCATATCTTAGCTTTCCCAACTAATATATATATTCTAGTTGCCCACAAATGTGTATTATCTTAGCCTACAACAAGCCTTCGCTTAGCATCGCGCACCTACACACACACAGGCGTACGTATTTATTACTTATTTATTGACTAACTTATCCGCTATAATTACATGGTGTACTTCTTTCCTTATTTATACCAAATTGTTTTTAGTTGATTCATCTTGTTAAAGGCTGTCTTTTTAGAAAAATACAACAACAAAACAAATTATGCTTGTTTATTTTTGGTCAGCGTCTTAGTAATCACTTCTCCCCCGGCTTTCTTTAAGTCTCTTATAGCACTGATATTATTATTATTATCG